ATAATTCAGTTTTATCAACTGAGTCTAAAAGGTAAATTGGCCACCAGGAAGAATTCTAAAGCCGACACAAGGTAAGCCCTTTAATTTGTCAAAAACTCTGCTCCTCTGATTTGGAAACAATCATATACAATTTCACCCAATTCCCCTCCATTTCCCTTGTTTGTTTTCTGTTCTCATTTGAGTTTCTGCACTACCTTTACTTGTACTTATGTTACCTGGTGTAGAAATTTGTGCTACATCAGGAACAACGATCAGGCTTCCAGTGAAGTCACACTTGTCACCAGCCTGGGCTTGTTCTACAGCTTCAGCTCTTAAAATAACTTCCACACTGGAAAAAAAAGTTTATCGAGTTGTAACATCAATATGTCTCACAATTGCTTTATATCACATGACTTGTGTTAGCCAATGATGTGTGTTAAGTACCATGTGCTTTGACATTCACTTCACTCATAAGTGTGGAAGGGGCAGTATTTTTTTTTGTCTTATCTAATTAAGTCTTGTATTTCAATTACCTTTGTGTTAGTTATTACTGACAGTGGAATCACAATACAAGTTAACATCAAAATTCTGTTTTAAACTTTGAACCTCTTCTACCTCTTGGAAGAAGACCAAAAGTACACAGTTGAAATTTCAAAATCCACATTGGAAGTGACTACAAAGCACAAGAAATGATAAAGCTTGCAGTACAAGATTTAAGAATGAATGTCACTACTAACTCACCTTCTAGGAATGCTTCCCCTGGGTAATTCTGCCTGTGTTTCTTGTATACGCACTTTTTGAAAATCCACATAGCGTGACTTGTTTATGTCCAGCATAAACCTTGCTCTGTTCTGACAAACTGGGTTGCGGCACACCGTGGGCTGCCAATCAAAGCAAAGACATCAGATTACAACTTAAAAATGATTTCGACTACTCTTTAATCCTTGAATCCCAAGGAATGACTTTTCATTTCTCCCAAAAACATTATCCATGAATCAAACATAAGGTCATGAGAAAACATAAGGTCATGAGAAAACAAGGAAATAATAATTGCAGATCTTGATTGTTGAAAGAATTCTCCTTAACAACATGACAAAATGCATTGGGAACAGTATGGAGAATATGCACTGATGTTAGGTGTTTAAAATCAATGTGAGTTCACTGACATTTCATAACAAGACACATTGGCCGAGTGGTTAACAAGTTGAACTCCAGGCTCTGGTTGTTCAAAGGGCGGATAGCGCCATCCAACGGATTAATCACTATCCAGCGGATAAGTGTTACCAAAACGTACTGCGCTATCCACCGGATAGGGATTTATCCACTGGATAGCGTTATCCATCCTTCAAACAACCGGGGCCAGATTGAGAAATCTGGGAGCTGACTTTAAATCCCAAGATCTGATTGTTAATTTTCCTCTCTAGCTGCTAATCAATTCCTTGTTAATTAGTAACAAGAATTTGGTGTTACATCAAGACATTGACTTCTACCTGATAAGTTTGAGTATTCTCATTTCTACCTATGTGATGAATAAAGTGTGGTTACTATGGGGAGAAGTTCCATGTTAATCACTTCTGCGAGTTAAAGGGTATAAGACTTGGCTGAGAAATTGCATTGTGTTCTTGAGTACGATACTTTACCCACACACTGCCTCACTACACCCAGATGTATAAATGGGTAACAACAACCTGCTGGGGAAAGCTGGAAAAATGCAGAGAGACCCTCGAATGGACCCACATCCCATCCAGGCAGAAGCAATACTTTTATTCCCTTTAGGTTGACAAAACAAGGGTAGTACAAGCTCTAACAAAGTAAGTTACTTTGTCAACAATACAAAAAGCCAAAGCACAATGCAAACACCTACCTGAGTGTACTTAAACTGTTGCTCGACATCCTTGATAACAGTCTGACAATCGAGGCAAATGAAGGTTCCACTCACTAACTCAGGGTGTACAGGGTGGGTCCTCACAACTTGTCCGCTTATTCGTAGTAATGTTCCAATCTTCTGACTGGTAAGTTCTCGAATCCTATGTTATAATCAAGCAATGCAAAAATGTGTCATAAAAATAGGTCATTGTTGACAAAATTTATGCTGAGAATTTGATCCTATGAGTGACCAAAAAGGATTTTTCCCTAACAATGTCAACATGTTTTCAAGGATAAAGGTAAGAAGTAAATGGAAACGTTTTAACCATGAGATATTATTCGATTGGATACCAAATTCTCATAGCTAATCTTAAAGGAAGCAAGGGACAGACAGTGTAGCAAATGAATTTTTTTAATCTTGGGAGTAAAACTGCTGGTAAGATAAGGTCTTACTTGTGTCTTGTTGGCAGGTCTGTGAAGCTGACATAAAACTCTTTGGTTGGCGGTACTTGGCCTCTGTCTCTAGCAAAGTTTCTGACGGCTCGACAAAGATAGGGAAACACCCTGGGGAAAAAAGATGAATTTTCAGACTTATGGTGAACTGCATTACAAAATATCATCCTAGGCCTAGTGGGTCAGAGGCTGTTAAAAATAATTGTACTGAATTTCCTCTCAGAACTTTCAGATCTTAAATCAGATTTCACACTGACTCTGGGTTATCTTAACCAAGCTTTGAACAGCCTAGCCCAGGGCCATATGTGATGGCACAAGTAGGGCCAGGAAAACAATACTGCCCTGTGAAAGTTGAAAGAAGAAAGAACGATAGAAAGAAAGAAAAAAAGCACTGATCAAATTACAACCACTGTTGCCCATTTATATTTCTGGGGGGAGAGGTACCGAAAGAGTAAGGGATGTTTCACCAAAATAACAAATCTCAATGACTTGCTCAGGGCTTGAACCTTGATCGTGCCATAATTTATAGGGTCCTGCATGCCAACACATCCAATATCTCTCATAATCCTTTAACTTCCATGAGTGACCAAGACAGAATTTCTCCTTACAATATCAATACAATATCAAGCAGACAAGTGATGAGAATGAAGAAAAATATCAATGAGGGGATTAGTTGATCAAATACCAAATTCTCTGATCTACCATTATAAGATTTGTATGGCAGACAATAAGGAGAATTACAAATTAGATCTTGGGAGTGAAGGGTTAACTGGGGTTACCTGTAATATTCCTCCTGGATTAAAGTTGATAGTTGTGCATTGTAAGACTCCACATCTTGATAACTGACTGTTAATGTGTTGCGCTCAGGTCTGATAAGTTCTTGCACTTCGGGAAGATATTTCGCTTCTCCATCAACCTGAAATCTTTAGAGAACGATATTATCAAGTAAAAGTATAAATAAATCAAGAAACTAACGTACATCAAAACAGATCTCGCATTTGTGCAAGAAGCAAAGCCCTCGTACTTTAAGTGATTCGTACCATCATTGCTATTTTTCCTCCATGTCCATCAAGTAAAGCTTGTTTTACGATGTACCCTTCGATCGGATAAAACAATGTTACTTTCCTCAGTTGAGAGTAAAGTTAAATCTTCAAGCGTTTGGTTCCTTGAGGCTGAATAAACTTATCTAACTAATTTCAGTTGAAAGTTGTTGTTTGACTTTGTTTGATATAAACTCTTCAAAATTGTTCTATAAAATTAACAAAGAATGTTAACCAAAACTTATCGAGTACCAAACGAAGAGATTGGATGAAAAAATAGAATTGTACTGAGTGGATCGAACCATGTGCAGCTCATTCGCGGCGTAACTACTTTATGTGTTAGAATTGTACAATTTTCCACGCATCTGCCTCAGATTATTCGCATTTTTTAAGGCTGGCGGATAATAAATGGACTTACTCTTCGAGGAAGTCTTGAAATAGCTTTTGGCATCGCTCAGCAAGGTCATCACGGACGTGAGCAGTTCCCGTTGTACGATCAGCGACGTCCATCTTGTTCAAGGTTTGCAAAGATCAGTTGACTCACATGGAGAAATTTGGCGCGAAAATTTCGTAGTAACAAGATCCCGGATGACACTAAGCAATATTGAGAAAATAGGAGAGGGGAGGGTGGGTAAATCAGTAGAGGAAGCCGGAGCGAGGCCGCATTCGTCAATAAATCTTCTGGTTCTTTCTCTTCGCGGTAGTACACCAAACCTCACTAACTCTCCAAAAAAAAAAATTCTGAACGGCGTAAGTCGCTGGCAAACAGCAAACGAAATTAGTTTTATCTTCAAACTGAAAGTGTTTTATTGCATCTAACAAACCTCCGAAAATGGCTTTCATGCAACAGACCGGTTCCGATGCAAGCATCACGTTCCCGTTTATTTTGTATCATGAGTTAGGGCTGCCTTAATTCGCTCGACTGAATCTATCCTGCGAAGTTGGCAGTTTTGTGTGCGCTTCAGTGTAAAAGAGTAATGAAGCCGCGAAAGGTTTGGGGAGGACCTTGACGGCTCGTTTTTGCCAAATGAACCGCCTGGTCACGATTCTTTATTCTTTCAAACATTCTTGTGCAAACCACGACTTATTTTCAACTTTTAACACCTTGAGATGCCCATTGAATTACTTTCACACCACTGTGTACATAAAAGATTTTTAATATTTTTATCCCATTCATTCAGAACGCGTAAATTAATATTTGTGTGCCTTTGTCCGGTTAAGCGCCCCAAGAAGTCACGATTAAGCAGCAGAGAAAGTACTTAGCTGAATCTTTTTTAATCACTTCAAACTTTATCCAAAACTTTGTGGCAAAGCACAAATAATAATAGTTTGATATTGGACACACCTTTCTGTCTGAGGTTCTTTTTAAAGGACCTCTCCAAATATGCAGCCTCGTATGCGATTTGAAACCAACATAGCTACTTCTCTTGTGTTAATATCTTTAAATACTTCCGATAATTTCAGTAAATGGTTTAACATCTTTAAATAAACTTTTAACCCAATTTCCGTTAAGAAAAATTAAATTTTTATTCTAACTCAACAATCTGTTCACATCTTATAATCAAACCGATCTGCAAAAAGCAATTCTTTCATTACAGTGATTAAAAATAATTATCATTATATTCTTTCATTTCGAGGATTAAAAACGACGATATTTGCCTCAGTAGACCTTTATATTTCAGTCTCCGCAGGAGCACTTGTCCTCAGATATCGACAATCTTTCATTTCCTCCAATAATTCATCGAGTTCTTTCTCTTCTTCCGCTGTCATAATATTTTTAGTTCCGTTTTCTCGATAATGAATTTTAAGAAGCCTCGACGCGCTCAATGCTGCGTTTCCAACACGTCTGCAGTTCGCGCGTGTTAAAGCGAACTGGCTTGTTTTTCGTTTTGTTGCGGGACTTACAGCAGCAAACGCTTCTGAATGTTTCGAATTTGTGGCTTCATTGTTCAGATCCATGGTTATATGGCTCAATACATCCGAGGAGGTGCGATTTGTGAACTTAGGATCCCATGAAACGGAGCAAAAAAGTTTTGTTTTCGGTCTTGTCGAGTCCGGTCTAATCCCGGTAAAATAGCCGCTAGAAAAACTTCTTTCTCTCTTTTCGTGGGTAGCTAACACCTTTTCACTTCTCAGTCTGTCCTTTAACAAGCTTGGCGAAGCTGGAGTTTTGACATCTGTGTGTTCAGCTGTAAGGCCGCTATTTTGTCTTTTGTCAAAGCCAACCTCGCTTTCGCTTAGTTTTATCTGCGAAATAGCATGATCTATAGAATCTTTTTCCTCTATCGTTGGCAAATCAACCTGTGGTTTTCTCCGCTGCGGTATCTTCCGACCACCTTTATCACTCTTACCAGGTACCGTATCAGTTTGAAAAGACTCCGCTATCTTGCCTTCGCCTTTATCTTCCAGCTTTTGACCGGACAACTTTCCTTGGGGTAGATCCAACACAGACACGTGGCTTTCTCGATTATCTTTTATTGCTGTCGTGAAAATATCATCTCTTGATCCTTGCCAGGCTAACTTAACATCAAATGCCTTTTTATCGGAGTCAGATCTTACAGGTTTTCCAGTTTCCGAGGCTCTCGCATCAACGATTCGCGTGGGCAGTGTGCGTCCTCTCGGCCGCGGACCAAAATTTAACATGCTCTCGAACTCAGATGGTAGTTTCAAAACAGAAATTTTAGATTGTCGAACTGAATGATTAAACGATTTTGCCCGACTTCTTTTCCGCGGCGACGCAACTATTGGCTTATTGGGTTCTGATGTTATCTTAGCTTTCAAACCTTCCATAACAGATGTATATTCCACTGATGGCGAAAGAGGGCATTGGGACAATCGCCTCAAAACTGAGCGCTTTTTTCCAGAAAAGCTTGCATTCTTTACGTTTGAAGTGGACAGACTGTTTGCGATTGTTCTTCGTCGAGGAGATTCCTGGGTTGAACTGTTTCTCTTGTTCTGTTTCGTGTTATGTTGCGTCTTGGTTCTGTCGGCGTCTGACCACGAGTCAGTTGTCTCAAATGCATTCCCCTTGCTATTTGATCTAACCCACTCCATTTGGTAATAAACTCCTCTATTTGGCTATTTAATCTCACAAATCTACCCGCTTGCCGAGAAGAGGTGGCGTCAAGATCTTCTGCGCGACACTTCGTGAATTCAAATAAACCCGTTCAAAGTTAAACCAAAGAAAACCTTTCTTTGATCAGCCTTGTTTCGCGCAAAGGAAAACGAGTTCCACAGGTCAAATAATAGTCTTCGCATATGTCTTTCGCATAAAAAATTGTCGAAGTCATCGCAATTGTCCTCTTAACCCATTCACGTCCTTTTAACCTCAAAACTTATTTCGGCCAGTTAAATCCTCAGCAAACACGATGGTACTGAGGCAGAAGGAGTTTACATAGGGCTCTCAGAATTTCCATCAAGGTTAATGAGTAACTTTTCACGCGTAGATCTTTTTTTTTTTTTGTTTTTTTTTTTGTTTGTTTTTTTTTAACATAATGATCGGGCCCGAATTTAATGAAAATACATTACATTTCTCCCTAAACTAAAGCTTATCTTATCGGTTCAATTACATTATGGTAAAAGACGAGTTGTTTCCTTTTGAGTAGGGTCAACGCAACAATTATTTTTTCTAGGTTGCTAAGTACTGGCGCGAAATAAATAAAATATTGAACACTTTGGAAAATCATTAAAACTCGTTTGAAAAGTACCGATGATTCCTTCTTTAATGATAGGTCAATTATTTCACAGGAGTTCGCCTCGTGAGTGATTTAACGATCCTAGAGGTATTTCACAATGTTCGTAGTTGTTTGCGTTAAGTCACATTTTTTGTGCTGATCACAGGCTACCCAGTTTTTCAACGACGTTTCTCTACTTAATCTGCTCAACTTCTATCTTAGGCTTTATTTGGCTCTTGATGTTGCAATAAACTAACGAGCCACTACCAAATTGCGCTTGTCAGTAAAGACAAATTATAAAGCTCTGCCGGTGCGCGACTTGACGGTCAGTGTTTAAGCAACTTAATATGATTTTTAAAACAACCATATATTGTGTTACTCTATTCCAAGTGTTTATATTAGTTAGCAGCGGCATTATGACTTATGTTTAGGCGATTACTTTTCATTGTGGCCTTTAATAGATGCATCTATCTTCCGCCAGGTCTCGCTCTGGCGCTGTCCGCACCTTGGGACTTCGTCTCAAGTCGAACAGCTCGCCTGTCGACCTTTACGACGGAATGATGGGTAAAAAAACACATTGACTTTTTTTAACTGTCTTTAGTCTGTGATAAAAAAGGGTTATAACGGTTTCGAGATAAAAAGTCTGCTCAATCTTCGTAAACCAGTTTGTTTTCAATGAAGAATTCAGCAGACGGAGCAGTTTTACCGAGAGACGCGCGAGGGAATGGGGCGAACAGAGCGACAACTGACGCGAAAGAGGTTGGGAGGAGAACCACCCCTTCCCCCCCCCCCTCTTGCTTACTTTTATTCAGCCCATGCCCGCACGTGCCTCGCGCTTCCCCTGCATGAACGAAAGGAAACTTGAAGGTTTGTCACAAAGGCTATCCTCCACCTTGAATATTACAGATTTTGGGGCTTTTTGTTTCAGTGTTGTTTGTCTTTGACTCTTTACTTTTTTTCCTCTTTCTTTCCAAAAAGCCTTTGCGCGCCGCAAAACGACAGTTTAAATTTTTGTGTGAATCTTAAAGATGAAAAGAGCCTTGAGCTCTTTCCTCTCCCCAGGCCCTGACGTATACAGCAGCTGTAAACAAGAGGGCTATGCAGAAGCCTGGAACGAATTGTTTAGAGAAAGTATCTACACAGTGCTGCTACGATGTCGCAGTAACAATGCCGTCATGGCCAAGACATCTCTAAAATATTCTGCTCTTGTTCTAATCTCTCTTTCTGTAGAAGAACGTTTTACCACTGGGAGATGCACTGTACATGGCAAACTTATCGCAGAGACCATCCACACTTGACGGGCTGTCGAAGACGACGAGCTCGTTGTTAACTCCGAGTGTAAACTTGTCGAAGCAGGAAAGAGATGACAGCATAATCATTTTGAATGTTAATGGCTTTGTGTAGTTTAAGAGAAATGCATCATATTGGCCATTTAAGGACATAAGGAGCTGTCCGTCTTTCAGTTTGACCTCAAGAAATCGTAAGTAAGCGAGTCCATCCACTCTGTACACTCCAATGAAGGGCTTTGTGTCTGGAGGAAGCACTATTTTCTGAATTGAAAATAAGAAAGCAAAGTTCATCATCTCTGATGGACTGTATGTGATTGGCTACTTACACCGCTCTAGCTCAGTATAACCTTAGCATCCGCCTTCATTTAGAAGCTTGACGGATTGCGAGGGTTAGAGAACACACGCGTGGTCATTCGTGAATGAGTCGTGCGAGGAAAATGCCTTTCTATGTCCACGCGCGTTTCTAAAACTAGCGTTTACTAAGATATTAGAACATTACAAAATATTACAAGGAACCAATGTGAACCAAAAGAAAAAAACAAGCAAACCATCTGAAACGCGGGAAAATGCGTGTGACCGAGTTGTGACTGATTAAGAGAGTGGAACGAGTTTTCTTCATTTACCAGAACAAAAACTAAAAATTATTACCTTTTGTGCTTCATTTCTGAGGACTTCTTTAAGAGCTGGGATAAAATTCTTCTTAAATTGAGTGCTAAAGTGAAGCCGCAAGGCTCCACAGTGTGTGCAAAATAAGTTGAAAGCTGAAAGAAACGAAATCAAAGGTCCGTTTACTACCTTTAAATAAACTTCGGCCAGTTGAGGTTTATTTAAAACAAAAGAATGGTGGTTACAGCTAAGAGTGAGGTTGGAAAGTTCTTGTTCAAACAGAACTCTGTACTTAGACTGCGTAGCCTGCGAGCAATACAGTTATTATAAATGATGTGGGGCGAATGCCTCTTCAATCGAGAGAAAGCTGAGGCGAGCCAAAAAAGGTTTACCAAGGGGTCTGGCACGAGTTATTCTCCATTACTGCCAAAGCCTTGATAAAAAAAGCAATAATGAGGGCGTTCCCGCGGGCTGCAGAATGTATTATAATTGTTCTCACCCAGTTTCAACTCTGGCAAAAGTTGGATTGCTGCGTGATATCCGAACACGTCACCGGCTTTACTTCTGACGAGCAAATCATCCAGGATTGTAATCTCCCAAGGTGTACCAACCACACTCTTGGCGTCCCCAAGAACGTACCCTACAGCGAAACGGACAGAAAATCAAGATGTTGCAACTGNTGTTAAGTTTTTTTGCTTAATCTTGGTTCCAGTCCCCTCACCTTAGTTATATATATATACATAGCTGTTTTAAATTTCAACGGTTACTTTTGAAAATGTATGTTGAGTACATACAAAACGTCAAGTCATAATCAAAATGTGCAAGTTCAATATGTTTATCACTGCTGTTTGTGTACAAAACGTCAAGTCATAATCAAAATGTGCAAGTTCAATATGTTTATCACTGCTGTTTGTGTACAAAACGTCAAGTCATAATCAAAATGTGCAAGTTCAATATGTTTATCACTGCTGTTTGTGTCTTATTTTTGATAGAATTACGATGGCCCAAAAACAAAAGTATTCCTGCAACGAATTGTTTAGAGATGTTATTTATACCGTGCTGCTACGATGTCGCGGTAACAATGCCACCATGGCCAAGACATATCTAAAATATTTCACTCTTGGTCTAATCTCTCTTTCTGTAGAAGAACGTTCTACCACTGGGAGCTGCACTGTACATGGTAAACTTATCGCAGAGACCATCCACATTTGACGGGATGTCGAAGACGACGAGGTCGTTGTCAACTCCTAGACTAAATTTTCCGACGCAGGGAAGAGATGACGGCAAAATTATTGTAAATGTTAATGGCTTTGTGTAGTTTAAGAGAAATGCATCATATTGGCCATTTATGGAGATAAATAGCTGTCCTTCTTTCAGTTTGACCTCAAGAAATCGTAAGTAAGCGAGTCCATCCACTCTGTACACTCCAATGAAGGGCTTTGTATCTGGAGGAAGCACTATTTTCTGAATTGAAAATAAGAAAGCAAAGTTCACCACCACTGATAGACCGTATATGATTGGCTACTAACACCGCTCTAGCTCAGTATAGCCTTAGCATCCGCCTTCATTTAGAAGCTTGACGGATTGCGAGGGTAAGAGAACACACGCGTGGGTCCACACGTGGTCATTCGTAAATGAGTCGTGCGAGGAAAATACCTTTCGGAGTCCACGCGCGCTTCTAAAACTAGCGTTTACTAAGATAATTAGAACATTGCAAATATTACAAGGAACCAACGTGAATAAAAGAAAATGACAAACAAACAAGAAAACCATCTGAAACGTGGGAAAATCCGAGCGACCGAGTTACGGTCGGTTGAGAGAGTGGAACGAGTTTTCTTCACTGACAAGAACAAAAATTAGAAATAATTACCTTTTTTGCTTCATTTCTGAGGACGTCTTTAAGAGCTGGGATAAAATTCTTGTTAAATTGTTCGATGAAGTGATATCGCAAGGCTTCACAGTGGGTACAAAATAAGTTGAAAGCTGAAAGAAACGAAATTAACGGTCGATTTACTACCTTTAAATATACTTCGTTAGTTGAGGTTTATCTAAAACAACAGAATCGTGGTTATAGCTAAGAGTGAGGTTGGAGAGTTCTTGTATAAACAGAACCCTGTACCCAGATCGCGTGCTTGCGAGCAATACAGTTGTTATAAATGATACGGGGCGAATTCCTCCTCAATCGAGAGAAAGCTGAGGCGAGCCAAAAAAGGTCTGCAAGGGAGTCTGGTACGAGTTATCACTGCCAAAGCCCTTGCAAAAATGCAGTAATGAGGGCGTTCCCGCAGGCTGCAGACTGCACTATAATTGTTCTTACCCAATTTCAACTCTGGCAATAGTTGGATTGCTGCGTGATATCCGAACACGTCACCGCCTTTCATTCTGAGAAGCAAATCATCCAAGATTGTAATCTCCCAAGGCGTCCCAACTACGCTCTTGCCGTCTCCAAGAACGTACCCTTCAGCGAAACGGAGAGGGAAATGAGTAAGATATTGCAACTGAATTAGTTGGAGACACCTTGGCCTTACGATTTAAGTCTTCTCTAGATAAGCAACTGTTAACTGTAAACACTTACAACAGAAGATCTGCGACAAACCCTCAAGAGCAAGCTCACTTATTTGATATTCACTTTCACTCAGTTTTTTGTAAACACAGTACTGGGATACCAGCCCCAATACAAACTAACTTATAAGATCCAAGTACTGATGTCATTACCAACTATGTAGCTTGTGACACTAAAGAAGTTGAAAAACTTCTCAAAGGTCTTAATGCTAATAAGTCTTGTGGGATTGACAATATACCTGCTCGTTTACTTAAAGAGACTGCTGATA